ATCCTCAACTGCCTATAAAACCCCTAGACAACACACCACTACGGGCTCTCTTGTCCCCTCCTGGCATGAGCCAGGAGCTCTATCCTTTCACTTTATCTCTAAATAAAAGCCTGTATCTTGCTCTCCTATGTTGACTGTTTGTGAAGCTCATTCTTTGGCTTCATGAACAAGAACCCCAGCATCACTACCACCCTTCTCCCTTTTCCTAATCTTTTCCAAATACAATACGACTAACATCTCCCTCTCAAGGACAGCATACTGGGCATTCACTGATAACAAAGCAAGTTCACTCAGACATTAGGAGTTGGAGGCAATCGACTCATTCTTGCCCCGGGTGGGCCATAGGGGGTGGGGAGTATTCACTACTGTGCCCCTTTGGTTTGCCAGCATCGTGTGCCAGTCAGCTGTGCCACGCCAAAACCTGCAAGATATGTGAAGCCTCCAGGCCACCAGTCGGTAGGACAGTGGATGTAGAAATTACATATTTAGATGTATGTAAAATACATTCAGGAAATAGAGGCTCAGGAATCCTGCCTTAAAATATAGTAAGTAGTCTAAATGCTCTTGATATAATGGTTATGTCATTCATTACATGGTGCAAATCTACAACCCTTTACTTTTTTTTTTTTTTTTTTCTTTGGGCGCCTGATGAGAGAACAAAAAACACAGACAACATACAACCCTTTACTTTTTAAATTTGCAATCCACCCTTCTAGCATCTGAGTTCAAAAATGGAAGTACATAATTAACGAGGAATTAAATACCAAATTTGTTATTCAAGAAAACTGATCATGAATGTGTAACATGAACAAAACATTTGTTGACATTTATCATCCACATACATGGAACACATTGGTATCATTGACCACATGAAAACCAGAAGACATAAATCTGCAGAGACAGTATCAGCATCCACCTCAAAGGTTGGTAGTTATTTTAAAGAAGAATGCCCAAAGATGATTTCATGGTGCAGCTGCAGAGAGGGTATTTATATACTGCTCTGTGAATGACTTGTTTAGATCAAAAGATCTTTCTTCAAAACTTATTTGCTTGTTTTTTATTACAAGTTTCCTTGTATGTGACAAAAAGTGAACTGATAGCTTTTAATAGGTTCTATTAGTGATGCCGGGGTTCTTGTTCACGAAGCCAAAGAATGAGCTTCACAAACACTCAAGATAGGAGAACAAGGTTACAGGCTTTTATTTAGAGATAAAGTGAGAGAATAGAGCTCCTGGGTCATGCCAGGAGGGGACGAGAGCCTGTAGTGGTGCGTTGTCTAGGGGGTTTTATAGGCAGTTGAGGATTTTTTGAGAACATCAAAAAAAAGGCTTAGGGGTATGGACTTGTACCACCTGCCCTGTCCTCAAGGTGGGCTGGGTTGTAGTCTGATTGCTAGGGGTGACAGCAGCGAGTCATGGCTTATGCTGATACTCTTGTAGAACACTCAAACATTCCAGGCCAAGTTGCTTCTGGCCTTTTGACCTTTAACTGATCCCACTGAAGATGTCTATATTTAGGTATCTTTCCCTAGAGAATTAGTGTGACCTTGACTTTGCATAATGCTTAGCACAGAGTTTCAATAGGGACTTCTTTGCCCATTGTTACATTGCTAAGTGTGAATATTCCACCCTGCTTTTCCCGGAGGCCCTCACCCTACTCTGACTACACCCATGGTCCCTGTCTCATTAGCAGCAGCAGAACTTCACAAATGATGCCAGTTGTACATTGATATCATTAGGTGCTTCAAATAGAAAATAAGTTGTATTAGGGCTCAGCAGAGAAACAAAACTAACACGGTGTGTATGTATATATAGAGAGACAGACAGACAGCTTTATTTACTTTATGGAATTGACTCACCCAATTGTGGAGGCTTGGCAAGTCCAAAATCTGATGGGGTAGGCCAGCAGCATGGATACTCAGGGAAGAGTTGCAGTTCCAGTCCAAAGGCAGTCTGGGGAAAGAATTCCTCCTTGCTGGAGGTCAGCCCTTGGTTCTATTCAGGCCTTCAAATGATTGGATGGGGCCCTCCCACACTATGCAAGGTAATCTGTTTTACTCAAAGTCCACTGGTTTAAATGTTAATCTCATCCAAAAAATACCTTCACAGAAACATCCAGAATACTGTTTGACCAACTATCTGGGCATGAGGCCCAGCCAAATTGACATAAAATTAATCACCACATTAGTTAATTCCAGTAATGGTTCAGTTTTTCATCCAATTCATGGAATCAAAGTAAAGCTTATGGAAATTTATTCTGATGAAAGTGAAACATCTGACATTGAGAAAGCTATTGTAAAATTCAGTTTAAAAATTCAACATTTAGGATAACTATATGATAATTTTTTTCACAGAAATATAAATTTTGGCGGAGTACAGTACCACGATAAAAACAAAATTCTTACTAAATGAAGAAACACCTGCAGTAGAAACACAATCAGTACCGGTCGTGGTGCACAAATCCTCATTGCTGTCCAAACAAGTAGACTGCAGAATTGTTTCTGGAAAGATAAGGGATGGGGAAATTTAATATAGGGTTATACCCGCTGTGGATAAAATCGTATCATTTCCAGAATATCTCGCCTGGCTTTAATACATCTGCATATCAATAGGCGTTCAGTGGTGGAAAGAAGTAAGGCTTTAGTTCATTTGCATCATTCCTCAGGGGTGCAGAGAAGTTGATCTCCATATCAGTGGGTAATTACCTGGGCAATGGAGTACCTGAGAGGGGAGAGGGAGGGCCAGTTTGGCTTCTTTCAGAGCAGAGGAGAGAAACGGCCCCAGGCTGCAGTTAGTGAGCAATAAATGGATTTTAAACTTTATTTCTCCCTTTGACTGATTTTGGTTTTTAGAGGTATTTTGCCCTGGGATTTCCTCTTCCTGGACTTAAACCTGCCCTTTCCTTATTTATTCCTGCATGTAGGTATTTTAGTAAAGAACAACGGAGTATTTGGCACCCAGAGTAGATAATTTTTTAAGAAAAAAATGACAAAATTATTTTCTGTAATAGTAATAATCATTATTTTCTTGAGTTCTTCAGTTTTAAAATAACTAAAATTTTACAATTCATTTCAATTTTATGTTGTCCAGGTTAAGTAAAATATTTCATATATGAACCAGATTTCCATTTAACAAACATAAGTATTATACATTGCAAATCACACTCTGCTGTTTTCAATTTTAAAAACAAAGCTCCAAGTTATCACATAGAATGACAGGACTGAAATAATAGTACTGTTTTTCTTTACAATCACTGGATTTTATTTCAAATCTCTGTTAAAATCCACAAGTATGTGGTACCACAGGAGTTGGAGAAAGAAACTGCAAGCCAGAAGCAAGCTGGATGGGTTCTGAAGTGTTGGGTACCTAATTTAGAAACAAATGGAAGTAGCTGAGTCACATGTTTCATGGGTCAAATGTAAAACTAAGTTTTCTGAATTACCTTCCAGTAGAACACAATGTTTGTTAAAAGGATAAGTAATAAAAATATGCTGATATGAACTTCAAAGTCTATACCCAGTAGGAATGCATCCATATGTTTACTAAAAGATATGTAAAAAATGTTCATAGCTGCACTATATGTAATAACTCAAACCTGGAAACTGCCCAAGTGTCCAACAGAAGAATGGATAAGAAGTCTTAAGAGGCTAGAAGTATAAAAGAGTGAATAATTGTTTAAGGCATAAATAACGAACACATAACATTGGTATTTTCATTGAAGCAAGCACTTTATGCTGTTTGTTTAATCCTCACCATGCATGCCCTGTGACAGAGATATTGTCTTCATTTGACATTTAAGGAAACTGAAGCAGGAGGTCAAGGATCCTGCCCAAGGTCATGACATTAGTCATAACACTAGTTTGCGTTACCTCCGGATTTGAACTCAGATTTTTCTCAGCCCAAAGCCCACTTGTACCATTTCCATGTTAGTCTGTTCTCTCTCCATGATAGATAGGAAGGCAGAGAAACTAGTATGGAGTTAACAGATTCATACACGCTAAAATTATGACTGCTATTATTTCTTCAGCACCTACAACGTGGCAAGTACTATGCTAAGCGGTTTACATAAATGACTTTTACATTTCTTGTAATATTTGTACATGGCAATAATTATTATTCTTATTTTTTAGATGAACAGCCTGACGTTCAGAGAAGTTACGTGATTTAACCCGTTTCACAAATCTACCATTACATATCCCTCAGTGGCCTTAATAGAGACCACTAACTATTTGCTGGGTACTCTGGTGGGTGCCGGAGCCATGCAGATGAGTACGTTAGGAATGGAGAACAACTGTTGTTTGCTTACCTAACCTATATGAGAGTAGGGGAAGATACTTTTTCCAGTCCCATATAAGGAATCGTGGAGGCAAAAATAAAGATCAGTAATAGCGATAGCTCCCATTTGCTGATTTGTGTGTTGTCCGAAGTACTGTACCATACACATACATGTAAATATATGTGCACATACATATACACATACCACCTCCTTTAATCCTCACAACGATCCTGTTAATATCATTTTACTGAGACGAACGGGAGGCTCATTGAGTTGGATTTGCTCAGTCATCACACAGCAGTTAAGTGTTCCTTAGTATTTGTACACTGAGCTGCCTGACTAGGTCTCTAGCTCGCAACTCTTAAACCCAGTGCAGATTTTTGTTAGAATTCGGCCATGAGTCGGGAAAATGGAAACTGCAATGCAGTCCAAGTGTTGGGAAGGGAACGCCAAGCGAGAGAACCACGTGGTGACTGGAAGCTGAAGAGCCGGCTTCCAGTTTAGGGCCACTAGAAAGCAGCGTGGCTGCAACACTTCTGTTGTTGGGGAGCCGCCTGGAAGGGAGTGTGAGGGAACGGGGATGGAAGCTGCACGGCAGGAGTCTCTGCTTCTTCCGGAAGAAAATTCCCACGGACCCATCGCGGGTTGGGCAACCGGCCTGCGCCAGCGGAGGCGAGCGAGAGGCGCGCGGTCGGGCGCGGGGGCGGAGCCTCGGGGCGGGGACGGGGGCGGAGTCCGCTTCCCTTAGCGCTGAGCGGCAGCGGCGGCGGCGAGGTCTTCTTGCAGAAGCGAACTTCTTGGCGTTTCGGCGCGGCTCTGCCTCCTGCTGAGCCTCTTCCTCCTCCTCTGCTCCGCGGACAGCTTCCTCCTCCTCAGACTGCCCTCAGCCCGCGCGCCAGCCGGCTCTGTTATGGCGACCTGCAGCCCCAGCGTCGTGGTGAGCAGCTTGGCCCGCCAGGCTCGTGGCGGCGGCGGCCGGCCCCTGAGGCGCGGGGTCCGCAGGGCGGGCTCAGGCAGCGGCGGTGGCCTGGGGAACCCCGGGTGCGGGGACGGCCGCAGCTTCCCTGGTTCGGCTTTACGTCACACCAGGGCGGGGGACGGAATAGCGAGGTTTGGGTTGGGTGCCCCTCTGGAGAACCCTGGGAGTAGGCTGGCAGGGTGGAAATGGCGTTTTGGTGGACTCGCGCCGCTGGCGAGCATGCTGTGGGGAGGGACCTTGGGCCAATTCGGGAACGATCCGGCGGGCTGAGGGTCGGGGCTTTCTCAGGAGAGGCCCGTCTCCGTAAATTTGGGGTATGATGGTGAGGACCTCAGGGTTCCTCTATAGAGGGCCCAGGCATGGAAACGACCACCTGGGAGGGCGTGCGGGGGCTGATGTTTTCATCCAGTTCTGCAAATATAATTAGTATTGGTGGAAGTGGAAGTGCGCCTTGCCTCATTAACTCGTCAGACAGCCTTGGTTGCAGTAATCATGTCGACCCTTTACACACGAAGAAAATGGTGAAACGATATTAGGTGGTTTAACCACGGCCCAGATATACTTGAATCCAGATCCAGCTCTTTGATGCTATTGCGGGAGTCAAAAAATGTGAATCCGGTCCTTATCTTCAAGGACATACATACCATTATCAGCCTCTGTATCCTGCCTCCAACCTCATTGGTTGTTCTTGTTTCTGGAACAAGCCAAGCTGCTCCTCCACTGCCTTTCGATCATGCTTGCTAAAATAGCCAATCCTCCTACCAACAGTTAAATGCCTTAAACTGCATTATGACTATGATTATTATTATTATAGTTTTAGCAGCTGCCCGATTACCTGTTGATTTTCTCTTCCACTAAACCGTAAACTTTATAAGGGCAGGAACCACCACTGTAACCCCACGTATAATACAGTGCTTGGCACGTAAGAAATTCTCAATAATGATTCCTCAATGAATGAGTGAATGAACCACTTGAGCCCTAAAAAAAGAAGGATTCTATTTTGTATTAGGCATTGTGACTTAAGGTAAAGAGCAGTGTTCTAATGGAATCTGGCCTGGAATCCTGCTTGTTTCGAATCCTGTCTGTTGACTAGCTGTGTGACCTTGGTAACTTATTTCACCTTCCTGGGCTTAAGAACCCTTATATGTAACTGGGGTGCTTACCTATCTCATGGAGTTACTGAAAGAATTGTAGGACAGTCTCTGTGAGTAAACAACCTTTGCATGGTCCTTGACTGGGCATAGTAATATTAGCCATCATTGTGTTTACCTGCTTAGTCCTATTTCATTCTGAAAACAACCCTGTAACAGTAGTGTGGCTATTACCTTTTTACAGAGGAGGAATCTTCAGAGGTTAAGTAATTTAACCTTTCAACATGAACGTACCCATGTCTCACAGTTACTAATGAGCTCAGATAAACCTAGAGCTCTCTCAAAAACCTCTGCACTTAAATACTATTAGTAGGCACTCAAAATGATGAGGCTGTTTTTATTTAGTTGCTGAGGAAGTTAGATGCCTTTAGCTTTGGGATATGATGCCTGCCCCAGCATACAGTGAATTATTGCTGTAACTGGCTGTTTTGTTTGAATGCCAAGATCTTCATTCTGTTTTTGGTTCACAAATTCCTGTTCCTTTTTTTATTTCTTAACTAGAAATTGCATGTCAGCAATAACAAACACTTAAATGGTGTTTACTATTTACTGGTTACTGTTCTAAGAACTTTACATATATTAACTGGTTTGATATTTGTAAAAAATTTATGTGGCTCAGAGAGGTTAAGTAATTAGCCCAAGATCACCTAGCAATGCTGAGATAATTTAAGTTATCTGGCGCCAGAGTAAACTCTCCACTTTTAAGTTAGTGGCAATAGTAGATATTTAGTACTTCCTATATTTTAGGTATTGAGGTAAATGTTTTGCAGACATTATCTAATATAAACGTCCCAAAGTTACATACCCTATGAGGTAGACATTAGTATGACCTTGGAGGCACAGATTGGTAAAGTAACTTGCCCAAAACCATGTAGATGAAATTGGCCCCCAGAACTGCTTGATACAACTCATGCTGCCTGTAACTGTTGTATTAAACTGCCAGGGGAAATTTGGACACACTTGAACTGAGAACAAGCTTCTAAATTTTTGCTAATTGAAACGTCAGATATGCATTTTGGGGTATAATATCTTCTAACTTTCAGGATGATTGTGCTAGGGTTGTAATCCTGTACAAACTGGATTTAAATTTTACCATCAATAATTTTCATAGAATTGATAGGTTCTTTTTTTTTGTTTTTTTGTCCACAACCCTGTCATTGCTGTCAATAGGTTTTAGATGACATTAGTCAGTGTAGACCAAAATTATTCTTTGTGACCAACAAGAAATGGAGCAGTTCAGTTTGGGGTTTCACTATGCAAATTTGGTAATGTGACATGCATGCTATAGATCCATCTTAATTGTTTTCTGTCCATTGTTTGTATGTGGGTATTGCAGAAAGTTCATGTGTAGGAGGTGGGAAAAAGACACAAGGACCAACCAGATCAGCAGAGAAGAGAGGGGTCTGGGTGTTGTTTTTTCTTTAATTTCCTGTACTTCATTAGGCAGTAAATGGGCCATGTCGTTTAGCATTAGAGATGCTAAGATGAGCTAGTGTTCTCTTACTTCTTTCTATAATTTTATATTGTGTGTATTCAAAAAGATTTATATGTATGAAAGTGTCAACCACCATATTAATATCAATGTTAAGAATACAGATTATTATTTTCCTGCTAGTGGAAACTAACATTTAGAATAATTTGCTACTAATAAGAATTAAAACACTTCAAATAGCTATAAAACTATTATCTTCAACACTGCGCTTCTGATAGGTGTATATTTTTTTGTCCAGAATGAACATGCCTGTTATTACACTGTGCACACTAATAAAAAGAAAGATAATTGTGTTGGATAAATTCATGTCCTTTCACATATAGTAGGTATGGCCCACACTTACCTAGGAGCAGCTAATAATTTATCCCTTGGTTGAATAGTCAAGGAAGCTGATTTTAATTCTTATAGTCCTTAGATTCTTGTAAACCTTTTAATTCTTAAAAATTTAAAAGGGAGGGCAAGCAAATTATATATGTAATTTATTTATAAGACATATAAAATTGGAAGATGAACCTAGTACTAGTTTAAATTATTTCACATTTAGGAATACATCAATAACCCATAATTTTGGTTTTTATGATACTGTGAGTTATCACAAATTGTCTCAAGGGGATAGCATATTATCTGCTTTGGTGTTCTCTGAGAATTTTAAAGTATCTGAATATAAAAGGTAAAAATAAGCCACCTGGCAATTTATGTCCACTCTAGAAGCCTGGAATTGTTGATTACTAGGATTAAAATAAAATTTATTTTAACTATTACTGTGCATCTTTTAATTCATATAACTCATTTTAAGATTCACAATCTCACTTCCATTTAGTCTTGTTTGAACCCATGAATATTATCATTTTTTGGCCACAAAGAGACTTAAACAATCTTAGTCACAGATGAATCGATGTTGCAAGTGTTGTCTTAGCTCAAGTTAATTTCCTTGCTTACTGCAATTTTAGATAACATATCTTTGTAATTAGAAGTTTTATGTGTAAACCACAAAACTTTTCACTATGAAAACCATTATTTTAGATGTGACACATAATTCTTAAGAATCTGTGATGTTACTTTTACTGGAAAGTAGAATTAATTTTGTGATTCATTAAATGCGGAAGTACTGATTTTGATTCTAGATAAAAGGTAGATACTGTTAGATTTTCCAGTTATCTTTCATAGTAATAAAAGTCCTTGTTAGATTTTTTATTAACAAGTATATTAAAGATAGATTAAATTATCTTTTAAAAGTTAAAATTTGAGAGCTGTGTTTTGAAGTTCTGAGGAGATAACAGTCACATTTCTGAACTGTGGGTAAATGGTAAGTAACTCAGAGTATTAATAACCTATCTTTTGATTTCCTTTTCAGCCAGAAATGTCTATAGTGGGAAAGATACAACTAGAGAGAAATCATGCTTGGATTGGTTTACCATTTCTGGTCACCAGAGCTCTACCCAAACATTTTGGGGTTAGGCCCTCCCCAAAGCCATCCAAGACCTTCTTTGTAGTCTTCTCTAGCCATTTTATGTTAATTCTTTATTATGGACTGAATGTTTGTGTCCCTCCACTTCTCCAATTCATATGTTGAAGCCCTAGCCCCCAGTATGATGGTATTTGGAGATGAGGCCTTTGGGAGTTAATTATAATTACATAAGGTCATGAGGTTGGAGCCCTCCTCTTTCAAGAGAAGACATCACAGAGCTTCCTCACCCATTCCCACCCCCAGCCATACACATAGCTAAGAGAAGGTGACCTACTAGCCCAGAGAAGAGACCTCAGAATTAAACCTGCTTTGTTGGCATCTTGATCTTGGACTTACAGCAAACCTGTGAGAAATTAATTATTGTGGTTTAAGCCATGCAGTCTGTGGTATTTTGATAGGGCAACCGGGGCAGCCTAATACGGTTCCTTTGGAACGTGTCGATAATAATCATGTGCTTAGACACACAACACTGTCAAATAATAAAACAAATAGGATTTTACAATCATAGCTGGGCACTGCTATTGTTTAGTTGATTTAGAAGGCTGAGCTAATTTAGAGACATGCCAGTTTACTCAGTTTACAACCTAGGCAAAATAATATAGTGACTGTTTTGAGCTTGATCTTGCTTCGTAGGGAGTCATTGGTGCTGGTTGACCTTGGGCTCCAGGTTTATCTTTAGTGTGTGTATAACTACTTTTGATAATCACTTTTGTGGGCTTGTCAGATTGGATTTAGGTACAAATTGCAAGCTTCACTGTGCCATATAGTTAATTGTATGTATGTTTATCTTTTCCAATGGACTATAAGCTCTTTGAGGGCCCTAAATTTATAATCTTTGTATCCTCCTACGAAATCTATTGCATAGTGCCTTAATCAAGATGGGTACTGAGTGCATTTTTGTGTAATTGAATATATTGCAATTCCTTCCTGTCAAAACAGCTACTGGATTGTTAACTAATACATATTAGATGGGGTTAATTAATATCAGATATTAACTAACATCAGATGGGACAAATAAGGGCTAATGAGATTAAAGGCTAGCAGTTATATTTTTGTCTAGCTCTTGGAGAGATTGAAGTTATTGGATCTGTTTAATATGAAGCTTTGTTGTTTGGGATGATTAAAACAAGTTCCTGTTTATTGAATTGTATCTTATTTTATGTTATTATCAGTGGTCCATGTCCAAGTGAGGCTTCTGAGAATTTGAGTGCCCTCTTAAACTCCTATAATACTTTATCTTTTACTTTTTTTAATTCATTTTGTTATCATTAAGCTACAATTACATGAAGAACATGTTTACTAGACTTCCCCCTTCACCAAGTCCCCCCCACAAACCCCATTATAGTCACTATCCATCAGCGTAGTAAGATGCTGTAGAATCACTACTTGTCTTCTCTGTGTTGCACAGCCCTCCCCGTGCCCCCCCCCGCCCACCTTATACATGCTAGTCGTAAGGCCCCCTTTCTTTTTCCCTGCCCTTCTTTTTCTTTAAATTTTTTATTAAGGTATTATTGATATACACTCTTATGAAGGTTTCACAGGAAAAAACAATGTGGTTACTACATTTACCCATATTATCAAGTCCCCACCCATACCCCAATGCAGGCACTGTCCATCAGTGTAGTAAGATGCCTATCTGTATCCTTTTCATAGCAGTTTAACACTCTGTTTTATGGTTATTCATGTACATGGCATGCCTTCTACTACACTGTAAGCTCTTTGAGGGTAGCTATGTCAAATTTATCTAATCGTCTCTAATATGTGCAACAGAGTAGGTACTCAATATTTGAGTATTAGTGATAAGAATAAAAGTTCTGAATAAGGTCTTTATAATTAGCATTCTAATTATTTGGTCATTAAATATGAGTTTAAAAGACTTGGGTTTTTTTGTTAAATGTAAATTGGGAAAAGTTAATTTTGATGCCTTATCATCATTCAAATAAATTGCTCCTTATTTAACTTTGAAACATCCACACATAGACATAATAGCATGATGAACCCTAATGTACCCATTGTCCAGTTTTGACAATTATCTGTCTAGCCATAGCTCATCATACATTTCTTAAATTAAGACCCCACATAAATATACTCCATTTATTTATAGTGAACTATAGCAAAGTTGTGAATTCATGCCTAAAGTGCTTCAGGCAATGCAAGTTTTATGAATTCTTGTTTTTGTCTTATGAGTAGAATTAATATTAACTTTTTTATGCTTGAAATAATAAATCAACTCTGACATTAAATATGATATATAAGTCTAATAGTATTGAGTGGAAATAAAAATTTTAGAATTGGAAATTGATTTGGTATACTGAGAGAGATAGAATTCCTGTTTTGGGGTACATCCCTGCTGGTCTGTGTGTATTAGACTGTGTGTCTGGGATGAACTCTTGGCAGAACTCACATTGGCTCTGACGGAGACAAACAAGACCCTTGAAGTTCTTAGGTTGTCTGCAAAACCTGTAGCCAGGCACTGAGTGATTTTCACAGGAACTGTAGTCTTTACAAGTGTGTATTTCAAAGGGTGAGTCCTGGTTTATGCTTGTGGCAGAAGTGGTGAGTAACTGGGAGGAAGGAGTGAATAAGCTTCAGGGAAGCCACTTGGTGCTCTGTGCCTTAATTTTAAAGCACTATGAAATGGTGCATTTTCATTCTTGTCAGGTAAAAGCAGATGTATTCTGATCAGCCTGACATAAAAGTTGATCCTCTCATCTTACAGGATCTGGCAAGGTTTATTTTCTTTTCCCAAAACTTGAACTATATTTCAGCTCTTAAAATTTATAAAAACAATACTTGTTGTAAGTACTCTTTAAATGCCCCTGTAGGTGATACAATTGTCCCATTTCCATTCTTTTTGTAGTAAATATGGTTAGTAATAAGCATGATGTGACTATTTAGCAGATATATTAGTACTTCATCTTAGAGGATCTGGCATAATCTTTTTTTCCCCCAAATACAATTTTTTTCTGCATATGAAAGTAATACATGTTTGTTTAAAAACAAATCAATACTGACTTCTTACTTCCCTCAGACTGGCTCAGACTGACTGCCAAGTGAGCACTTGTACACTACATGTGGCCAGACCATGCCCTGGGGGGAGTCCTGCTCCACTTAACCTGAATCACTGCCAGCCTCCTGGCCACGTGCATAGGTAGAAGTACTACCAACCTGACATGACAATGCCTAAATTCCACCAAAGTCCGGAGAGCTCAAAACAGTTTGGAGACTGAAAGACAACATGAACCTCAAATTTCTCAGGATATAATTATGAATTCTGTGAATAATATTATAAATCTTAAATATGTACTTTAAAAATGTACTGAAGACTAAGCTACTTATCTGTCCTTAAGAACCTAATGCAATGCTTACTGAAAGAAGAGGTGCTCAATACATACAGCCAATACATTGAGATTTCATTATGGTTTGACCAATATTTCTTGAAAACTGTCAGAGCTCATATCATCAGCTTCTTGAGTGTGATTTGGAAGATACTTAGTCTTGAATTCATCATGTGAGATAGAGTACTGTAATTCTGATTTATTTCTTTGAATAAACTTTAAATATGATGAGAGGAAATTATAAGTCAACTATAATAAAAAGTGAAATTGACAATGAAAAAGAAAAACCAAGTCAATATTAAAGTGTGAACATGGCAAGTGCAAACTTATAGGTGACTATTTCTTGGTGTATTCACTTACCCTTCCTTCTTTTCCTCCTTCCCTCCCTCCCTCCCTCCTCCCTTTTCATCCTTTAATTTTTTTGTATTACAATTTTTTGTTGATTTTGTTTTAATGCATTAAAAAAATTTTCCCCCCACTTTTTATATGTATGTGTATATATACTACCAGAGATGATTTAGACTATTGAAGTTTTTAAAAGCAATATATACTCATTGAAGAATATTTGGTATACATCAAGAACTAAATAAAATCCCTCTAACTCCTGTCCCTGAGATAATTTTTATGGTTTTACTATATATTATTTTGTGTGTAGGTGTATATATAATACTTACAAAACTGTAGTCCTAGATCATTTTATCACTACAGGTACCACACCATCAGTATTAAATATTTTATATGCCAGGGACTGGACATATCAAGACAACCAATATATGATATGGGTCTACTCAAAGAACCTTGGAGTATCTACTACAAAGGCACCTCATGAGTTGATTACAACAATCTCAGACTACAAAGAGTTTGGGTTTTTAAGAAATCACTTAGCTTTTTTGGTGATGGGGGAGGCTATTTGGATTTGTGGTGGGGAACAGCAGTTTTTCCTCATGCAGTGTGACATTTTACTTGTGAAGCTACTGTAAATTAAAGTTTTTTAAAGTAAATTTTCAAACATAGTCAAAAGTGAAGAGAATAGTATAATAAATCCCCATATACCCATCACCTGTGTTTAAAATGCCAAGATTTGGCACATTTGTCTTAGCTTTTTATAAAGTTTTTCTCTTGCTGAACTAAAGGAACTTTCCTATCATTTTATTTCTACAATTTTAACTATTCATCTCTAATAACTAATTCATTATCATGCCTACAAAGTTATAGAGCATTCTTGGTATCTCATTTCTAAATTTCTCTGATAGGTAAGGTTTTTAAACATCAAAATCCAGTCAAGTCTTTGTATCCTTCAATGCTCTCATTTGAAACAGCCATATTTCTTTTTCAGATTAGTGATGATGAACCAGGTTATGACCTAGATTTATTTTGTATACCTAATCATTATGCTGAAGTTTTGGAAAAGGTGTTTATTCCTCATGGACTAATTATGGACAGGTAAGTAAGATCTTAAATAAAACTTTTTGGTTTTTTTCTTAGCATTAATTTGAAGTGTCAGCAAATGTTGTAAGTAGTTAATATTTGAACGTGAACTAGGCCAGTTTGTCAAATAGTAGATACTTTCTATTTTAAAAGCTCTCTTTATAAAAAAGGGAAAGAGGGCTTACTAATTACCCAGTATAAGTCATGGTGTACTGGGTATCTGTAGGGAGTAAAATAAAGTAAACATTGAAGGGAGATTGGAGGAATGAATGAACTCTAGTCACAGTCTTTGATTTCTCAATCCTGAACAGGGTAATGGGCTGGGGCTGAATCAGGTGACAGCAAGGTGACATTTTGATTATTATGCACATCTAGCTTGAAAATTTCCCTTGAAATGAATTGCAGTAAAAAAAAAAACAAAAAAAACCTTGCTTGGACTTGGTATTTAAATGATTGCCTTGTGTATCTGACTGTTTTGTTTTTTATTTTAAGGTTATGGCATCAATACGTGTATGTTATAAAGTATTTGAACTATAGAGTCTAAAAATGAGAAGAATAAATTTCTCTCCTCTTAGCCTCCTATGCACATTTTCTCCTTACACACTGGCTATGCAATATACTGTATGCAAATATACATACATATTTTGACACATGAGTATGTACTATCATAAGGTCTAAAATTTGCTGGACATTTTTTGATGAGTATATCCAGAGCTATCCCATGTATTTTAAAGGTTGCATAGCATTCAACTTTATCCATGTGGAAATTCTGGGACAAGGGAAAGATGTTCATTGAATGTTTTGATACTGCCAAAGTATCTTCTGAAAAATTATATTAATTTGTACTCCCAATGGTATAGGAGAGTGTTCTTTTCATCACAGTCTCTTCTAATATTGTACATCATAAGGGAAATTTTAGTTTATCAGAATTTGCCAGTCTGATAGGTGAAAATGGTAGCTTACTTTAATTTGCATTTTTAAAATTTATAATTGATGTTACAGTGTACCTGGTTTTTGAAGGTTCTTGAAATCTTTATCTTTGCTTTATGAAGCAAGGATATACTTGATGGGGATGAAGGATGTGTTTTGTGGAAGTTTAATGCTTAAGGGATGTTTGTTATAAAGTTTAAATATATTTCTATTACAAATTAATTTATATTAAAATTCCCGATTTTATTTCTGTAGAACCGAACGGCTTGCTCGAGATGTAATGAAGGAGATGGGAGGCCATCATATCGTAGCCCTCTGTGTGCTCAAAGGGGGCTATAAGTTCTTTGCTGACCTGCTGGATTACATCAAAGCACTGAACAGAAATAGTGATAGATCTATACCTATGACTGTAGATTTTATCAGACTGAAGAGCTACTGTGTAAGTATATTTAATACATGTTTAAGAAAAATCATGGCAGCTGTAGGTTTTCTTGTATTTTTTTGAAGCTCTGTACACTGTACTTAACATGTTCATTTCACTTGGTTACAATGAGATTTTCTGATACACTAGTGCTTTATGTCCAAGTGAATATTATCTTTTTTGAGCTATTCACCTTGGAGAAGACTATACTTATTTTAAGAATTTTTTGATTTGGTTTTGTTTTTTTGGATTTTTTTAAAACCCTTTTTAGGAATTGCTATTGGGACTTGGGGGATACCTTTTTTTTATTTTAATATCGTTAGTGTACAATTACTTGAACAACATTATGGTTGCCAGACTCCCCTTATTATCAAGTCCCCACCACATACCTATTACAGTCACTGTCGATCAGTGTAGTAAGATGCTATAGAATCATTACTTGTCTTCTCTGTATATACTGCCTTTCCCATGTTCCCCCCTCCCTGCTACATTATGTGTGCTAATCGTAATGCCCCTTTTTCTCCGTTATCCCTCCCTTCCCACCCATCCTCCCTAGTCCCTTTCCCTTTGGTAACTGTTAGTCCATTCTTGGGTTCTGTGAGTCTGCTGCTGTTTTGTTCCTTCAGTTTTTGCTTTGTTCTTATACTCCACAGATGAGTGAAATCATTTGATACTTGTCTTTCTCCACCTGGCTTATTTCACTGAGCATAATACCCTCTGGCTCCATCCATGTTGTTGCAAATGGTAGGATTTGTTTTCTTCTTATGGCTGAATAATATTCCATTGTGTGTATGTACCACATCTCTTTATCCATTCATCTACTGATGGACACTTAGGTTGCTTGCATTTCTTGGCTATTGTAAATAGTGCTGCGATAAACATAGGGGTGCATATGTCTTTTTGAATCTGGGATCTTGCTTCCTTTGAGTAAATTCCTAGGAGTGGAATTCCTGGGTCAAATGGTATTTCTATTTTTAGTTTTTTGAGGAACCTCCATACTGCTTTCCACAATGTTTGAACTAGTTTACATTCCCACTAGCAGTATAGGAGGGTTCCCTTTTCTCCACATCCTCGCCAACATTTGTTGTTGTTTGTCTTTTGGATGTTGGCCATCCTAACTGGTGTGAGGTGTTAGCTCATTGTGGTTTTAATTTGCATTTCTCTGCTGATTAGTAATGGTGGATCATCTTTTCATGTGCCTATTGGCCATCTGAATTTCTTTGGAGAAGTGTCTGTTCAGGGGGATACCTTTTTTAACTATATTTACTGATGTCAGTTATCCTCTCTGGAGCTTCATCAGTTTGCAGGGAAGTGATAAGTCATTTGCAGCTAGGTCTGATAAATAAGGTGAATTAACATTTCTTTCCTAGAAAGAACATATGGAGTGAGCATTGGCATATTGAAGAAACCACTCTTGATTCACAATCACTCTGCCTTTGTCTCACGATCTCAAATGTTTCTGAATATTGACACAATAAGCAGTATTGACACTGGGCTGAACCAAAATCATGTAATCTTTACCTGTGAATTTCACCATCCACAATTTCTTTGATCCTGTGAATGTTTTATTTTTACTAATTTATACTGTTGCTTTGTTTCTGGTTGCATGTTGGCATTGTAATTCCTGTGAATTACTATTTTCCTTAAAAATAGGATTACTCCTAACTTCCGCAAAGATTAGAGTAAATGTCCCATCTTTGCTGTTTCATGAATTGGTATTATAGTGCATCTTTGTAGAAACTTGCCTTATGTTTACATTTTCATTGAGAATAAGATGATTTATCTACATTTAACTTTCAGCCTTCATTCTCTCTCTTAGTCTATTTGACCGAAGTCTATTTAACCTTTTCCACATTTTCATCAGTCCCTTGGGTGATTTGACTGGGCAGCCATTTAAGAATTATAGACAATTTCCCTATCCCTTTGAAACCCTTTGTGATTACACATCAGAATATTACTTCTTATTTATAAGCTCCTTTTAATTTCTCACAGTCTTCTTGAATTAAAAACTTGTTTAACTACAAACTTTGCATTTTTTGACTCCACAGAATTTATTTATTTATTTACTTAGCTGGTTTAAACCAGCTAAGATTCAAAAAAGATTTAATTTTACTTAGTATAGCTGCTAACAGTATTAGCTGCCCAGCTTTTAATGTATTGTTGCTTAGAGTCAAAACATGTTTTATAGTCCATGGTATGATTTATCTTTTTAATCTCCTTAAGCAGCCACCCTCCATATACATAAAAATCAATCTTGTTATTTTGTGACTTATACTTCATTCCCCTGGGGATTTTCACAGAATGTTCTTTTTTTGAAAAGAAAAATAAGGGGAGTTTAGTTTTTTAAAGTATCCTATAGTTACAAGAGCAATTTGAAGCAATAGAAACACTTCATTTAATCCCATTTTCTACTTTTAGTTTTTTTGTATTAGTTTTAGATCTTAGAGGATTATTAAGGTGAACTTCCCAATTGATAAAAAGTGGGATATTAAACACAAAGCAAAGCAAATTTTTAGTTTAATTTTTACATTGAGAAAAATATCTGTTCTACCTCATGGAAAATTCTGTTTAGATGTACTTCTAAGCAATAGAAATTAAGAACACCATCCATATATTTTCTGTTGGTTTGAAATAACATTTATGCCCTATCATCAGCTTGTCATGGATAATGTTTTAATATTTTAAAAATAGACAACTTTGATAAGATCATGAAATGGAAATTTAAAATTGTAGCATTAGTAACATTGGTGTTAGTATACTTTTACATGCTGATCTTGGCCAGTTTGAAATAGTGAATTAATCATTGACTGATCTGTACAAATCCTAAAGAAATGCCCCATGAACTATTAAATATTTCTGGAATATATAAAGAGCCATAATGTCAATACACCCCATCTAGTTTCTAATTCATAATAAAACCTGCATTTTTCTGATTAAAAAAAATACATGTTTGCTATTTTAAAAAAACATATCACCACAGAAATTTTAAAGGATTTAAGTCACCCTAAATTCCATTCCCACTTTTATTTCTATTATTTTAAAGAATTTCCTTTCTGAGAAAACACCTATTATAGTTTACATAGTCTCAATCAAAGTAGGTAGGCAGGATTTTACTTGCTTAGTGCCTAGATGGGAAATTGCCTGGGGATTCCAAATACCATATTTCATTAAATCTAAGATACCATTGATTTTAAGACTTACCATTATTTTTGGTACTGCTAAGAAAGAAGACATTATTGGTTATAGTTGTAAGATGCTATCAATTGTAATATGTCAATTTCAGAGACATTAAAATATCAATGTGCATTTTAGAACAGTGAAGTGTAGTACAGTATATTCAGTGACCTTTTCTATCCCTAAGCCTCTGATATTCACAAAAATTTAAGTTGATAAGTATGCAAATAAGTTTTCTCTATTGTTAGTTCAATTTTGTAGTAATATTTTAAACTAAAATTGTTGAATTTTAAAAAATGATGAAGCCTCAGGAGGAAAAATTGTCAAACAAGTAAGTTTTTTGTGGGAGTATTTTTGTGTGGACCTTAAGCAAATGGAAAATTAGCATGATTTATGCTATATCCAGACTAAATGGCTTACATAAAATGAAGTTCTTAGGATTTGAAATGTTGCAGAAAACTTTTTTTTTAGTTAATAAGTTATTGTCTCCATGTACATACGAGAACAATGAGTTGCAGAAGGATTAAATGATTTGCTCAAGGTCATACACATCTTTGATCAGAACTTTGATCTTTGAGTCTCATTTGGGAAAACTTTTAACTGACTTGGATCCTATAATATGGGCTTCCAATTACTGTTGACCCTTGAACAACATGGGAGTTGGGGGCACCAACCCCTCATGAAGTCTAAAATCCTCATACAGCTTTTGACTGTCCAAAGACTTAACTATTAATAGCCTACTGTTGGCTGGAAGGAAGCCTTACCAATAACATAAACAGTGACATATTTTGTGTGTGATATGTATTATAATACTGTATTATTGCAATAAAGTAAGCTAGAGAAAAGAAAATGTTTCTGTAAATTGTCACAAATCTCCAAAAAGTTTTCCAATATATTTATTGAAAAAAATCCATGTATAAGTGGACCCACACAGTGCAAACCTGTGTTCACAGATCAACTGTATTTCTTCATTCCCTACTAGTCAGAAGTTTTGCACCCAGACAGAATTCATTTTGCCAATTATGGGATTTTTTTCTCAGTTGCAATCAAGGTTCATAAAGGTTTAACTTTCTGTCTTGATCTTGGAAGTTGCTTGGTTAATAGCTTGATTAGGCTATCTGTTCAATATATCAAAGATGCAGATTACTTTCAGTAGTTTGTAATTTGTAAGGTAACTATTTGAATGAGCTTGTTAGAGAAAAATGCAGAAAATATTGGAGTAGTTTCTTAAAGTGTCTCTTGTAAGAACAGGTCAGTAGCTTTCTGTCTGACTTTTTTCTCTGTGTGTATTTAAGTCAGTTGCTTTGAGGTATGCTTTTTTTCTCCAGAACAGTTGAAGTTAATGTAAATATACCATTTTGATGTTACACTAAGTAGTTTAAAGCTTATCTTTAGTAAATATATGTATTTATATATATATAAAGCAAATGAAGTGATTTATACCTCTCCTTTTTATTACAACACAGACATGTATGGGGGGAAAATATTGTTCAGTTTAAATTGGCAGAAATGGGGATGTGTGTGTGCTATCCATGGCACAAAGAACCTTTAACAGAATGAGGGTCAAAAGTATACTTTCTAGCCCTTTCCTATATATTTTCACTTTGATTTAGTCCTTGTCAGGCTACTGAGGCTTTATATAGGCACCCTTATTCTTAGAACATAAAGGTAGGGTTCAAGTTTGGTCCTGTGAAACAACAAATTTTGTAATAACAAAAAAGTAAGGAAATTGATCAAGTCACTCAGTAAACACATACTAATAATCTATTATATGCACGGTACTATCTTAGACCATGAAAAATGGTTCTATTGAACATGTTTGTTTTATCAGATCCTAGTCTCAAACCAGACATGGAATGCAAAGCATGAAGATAGGATGCAATAACTTCTCAAGGTTTGAAAACTGCTTGAAAATAATAGATAGTAAATATCAGCACTAACTCTTCAGGCTTATCTAGTACTATGTTGTGCTAAATGGTATATTTGATTTGATTAGAGCATTGCTGACTAATAGTACTTTCTATGATGATGAAAATATTGTATATCTGTGCTGTCTAATAGAGAGCCAGTAGCTACATGTGGCTCTTGAGCACTTGAACTACGTCTTGTGCAACAGAGTAAATGAATTTTTGATTTTATTTAATTTTTTAAGTACCTGCCACATATGCTTAGTGGCTATTATATTGGATAGTGTAGGATTAGATGATCTAGAAAGACCCTGCTTCATCATCAGCATCATTTTTAAACTGATGATGGTTTTTTTTTTTAAGCAATGTGTTTTTTTAAAGAACTCATAAAATAGAGGTAAATAAAATAACTTACTACCTAGGTATATATCCTTCCAGACTAATTTTTTTCTGCATATGTTTTTTAAAAGTTAAATATGTCCCATTTTTCATCTAAGGTACAATCGACCTCTTCAAGTATATTATTCTAATATTCTTACTCTTGCTGATAATTTGATCAGAGTGCAGGAAAACAGCTAAAGAACAGAAGATGGTTGAGATGATGTGACGAGAAAACATGATTGAGCGTGGTGTACTTGGAGCCTAACTGGATATAGAGGGAATGACTATTTCCTAATAACTCCATTCTAGGGACCTGAAAGAATGATCTATCTGAAGTTCACTGCAAAAAGGAAGCTACTTAGTGCTAAGCTACTAAGTGCTAAGCCCAGACTGCCTACCTCAGTAGAACTCCCAGTCTTGCCGTTTTGGGAACCGAGCCTTGGTGACTGGCCTCTCTTGCATCCTCTTCTTATGGCCTCAGCCTGTTTGTTCCAAGCCATTCTTTTGCAGCCCATTCATTGCATGTTTTCACACAGCTTTCTCTCTCTTGCCCATACCAAGCTTCAGTTCTTGTTGCTAACTAGAGGATTTCAAAATTCCTAGTGATAAACAGTTAGGAATAAACAAAAGTTCCTTCCGATATCCCTTCTCATTTTTTCACCTAGACTTGAGAAAGGTAGACAAAAATGGAAACAGAGATGCTAAGGGTATACCCATAGAGCTTCTTTGGTAATTATGTAGTTGACAGAGACACTCTTGAGTTAAGGACAGATTGGGCTCTCTGGCTGAGAGGAATTAGAAGATTGGATGATAAAAGAAGAGGGAAGAGCAACTGTCGGGGTGCTCTCCCCTCCCTCATGCCAGTCCCATCATCTCATTAAAGATGAGGCATGTAAGAGTCACACAGTAATGCAGTAAAGCAGGGATGCCATGGGAAATTGTTCCAGACAGAGAGGGAGGGAGGTAAATTCCTCTGGTGGAGTAATTTGGGTATTTTTACCTGTATTCTATCTAGCAAACTGGACCTGAAACATTTTTCTTAAATGAACCATTTATTACCTCCATTTTAAAAGGTTGGCTATGTTTCCACAAAAAAAGAAGAGATTAACCTAAAAACCTTGGGGCAAACAGGAATATGGAGATTTGTGTACTGGTGGAGCAGCAATGTCTTTACACATGCTTGGAGTTTTCTTGTCTCTACCCTGTCACCACAGCCTTTGGATCACAGGTTTTTCCATGATTTTGTACTTTTCAGCTCTCAGATCTTTTTACTCCTTTCCTGTCAAAAAAAGGTTATTTGCAGTTGGACTGTAATACCAAATTTCTACAGAAGGTGTCACTATTTAACATGATTTACAGTGTAAATCAATATGATTCACTCTCTTTGAAAGCTTCAGGTTTTGTTCAGTTTTTTTGCTATTCTCTGTGTTTGAAACTCGGTTTTAAATTAGTTAGAATAACAGATATCTGTAATTTCCTTAAGATAAGTAATATGCAAGTTTTTGATAGCAGCAGTCATACTTAATATTTAGTTTGCATTACTGAATAGTGTTGGTGCATTTGTGTTTTTCAAAAATAACACTAAAAATGGACGTGTCTATAGAAGGATATGACGAAAATAGAAGAAAGTCTTGTTATCCTCATTTTCATTGCCCAGAAGTAATTGCTCTATAAACTTTTTTAAAAATGCTAACAAAAGTGGTTTTATATGCAACACATTGTTCTCCTGCTTGGTGTTTTTAATTATTGTTAATTCATGTCAGTGTGTATAGGTTATCAGATTCTTTTTAATAGCTGCATGGTATTAAATTGTGTGGATGAACTTAATTTAAACAGTGCCCTATTAATAGACATTGTTGTCTCCAGTTTTTCTTTTTTTTATTAAGTTGATACAGTGAACATCCTTGTATGTACCTTTATGTAATTGCGTTTTTGTAGCATCATTTCCTGGAAGTGGGATTGCTGGGGCAAGTGGCATGCATGTTTACAATTTCAACGACTATTGCTGTATTGTTTTCAGAAGAGGTTGTACCAATTTATACTCTGACCAAAAACAAGAGGGCTTGTTTCCCGTCACTTTTGGCAGCATATGTCATCAGGCTTAAGTTTTGCCAGGGTGAATGGATGAATATTAAAATCACATTGTTTTAGTATTTGTTTCTCATGTAGCATTTTATGTTGTAGGGTCTTCTGTTAATTGCCTATTTGTGTTTGTCCTCCATTTTCCTATTGGGTTCGTATTGTTGGAACCCTGTGTATAATAAAAATATTTGTTAAAGATCTTTTCTTTCAGTTTGGGTTCATGTCATGCCTAGGATTTTACCTTTTCTAAGAATGGGAAATACTCTGTTTTCATCTATTCTGCTTATGGCTTTATTTTTTATATTTAGATTTTAATCCATCTGGAATTTATTTTTGTGTATGCTGTGAGGTAGGGATCATACTTTTTTTTCCCCAAAATGGATAACTAGTTGATTAAATACCATTTATTGAATAATTCATTTTTTTCTCCCTGTCTTGAAATACCATCTTCATCATATACTAAATCCTCATATACTCCTAGGTCTGTTTCTGGGCTCTATTCTGTTCCTTGATCTCTTTGTCTATTACTGTGCTACTGCAGCACTTGTGTAATTGCTGTAGCCTTGATATGTCTTGCTTTTTGGTAGTGCAAGTCTGTGCTCTTTTGGTGACCTGCTTGCTCTTTCACTCCAGTTTTCTGTCTTGAATCCAGCATGACCAGATTATCGTCATTATCACCACCAAACCCAGCAGATTTGGCATATTCCCCTATGAAACACCTGTAAGGGTTTCTACTGGATTCTCTAATAGCAGAAAACTTGGAGCCTAAGACTACTGATCAGACCTGGTTTCACAGACTGTGCTGAAGATGACTTGAGCCTGGGCTAGACATTTGAGGGAAATATTTTTGGAGTTAAATGTGATACAGTCAATTTGCTTGACTCATGGAAATGGTCCAGGGCCAGAACCAGACACCTGTCATGCTAATAACTTCCTTCACGGTTCAGAAATTACTGTGACTGAAGATGGGTGGCTGCCATAATACTGCCTGCTTATAAACGGGAGTATTCTATTTTTAGTACTCTTAAAAGCATTAAATTAGTAATGGCCAATTAGGACTTTAATTTTTACTAATCTGTAGTTGAAAGTTAACTAGTCATTCATTTCTAGAAACTTAATTCTTATAATTTATATCATTTAGACTATCATAATGTTATGACATTAGCTAACTTCTTAAATCTTCTAGTTCCCATTTGATAATTTGAAATGAGTGTGTGGATATACATATATACTTACATCTTGTTTTTTTTTACTAGAATGATCAGTCAACAGGGGAAATAAAAGTTATTGGTGGAGATGATCTCTCAACTCTGACTGGAAAGGTACGTATCTTGAAGGGAAAGAAAAAAGCACTTCATACCAAGTCAATTAGTAATACTATGCATTCAGTCAGTCACTAAGAGGCAGTTTACCTAGTTATTTATGCACTTAAACAGAGGTTATTTAACCCTTGTAAGCAATCTAGGTTAGGTATCTTTGCCTAGGTTGTATAGCAAAGAGTCATCAGAATCCAACATTAAAGTCCATATTGCTCTGCTTCTGGGGATGTAATTTGAAATCCTTCAAAAAATACATATATGGCTCCTTTTCCTGGTTGCCTTTTCTCAAGACAGTTGCCTCACCAAAGATCATGCTTCCAATGACTTGTGGATAATTCGACTTGTTTTGTTAATATCAGTCACCTCTCCCAGCTACTCCTATCATTGATGGATGGGGTCATGAACAAAGTAGCTATGGTTGCGGCATTATTCACTGTCATAATATTCCACACGTTATTGTTTCCCATCACGGAACTTACTCACAGCAAAAGAAGTTCGTAGTGGCCCATGTTCATGGACTTTGCTGGTTTTATCATGCTCCCCACCATCCTGAAGCAACTTGCTTCATAAAATAGTGCAGCAGTTTTTGAAGATTCAGTTATGGCATCAAGTAGGTGTCTAGGCCTTATGGGCAGAGCAGTGCCCACCAGGAGGTAGCGTATCATCTCATCAGCATCTGATATATGGTGCCATTTCTTCCGTAGCTAGGATTTGCACATGGAGGAACCAAGGGGTAGAAATGGGAGTGGCTTCACTCACTGTAATGCCTGGTGTCCACTAGTAAAAGTTTTTCCCCATCAAAAAAAAAAAAAAGACTAGAATCCAGTTTCTCAGTTTCTCTGTTGCATAATTCAGTGCTCTCTTCAAATTACAGTGCCGTCCCATGGTGTGAATAGCTGCAGCTGTGAGCCACAGTTACTGACAGAAAAATGTTATCCTTCAGATAGGCTAGCTAGGGTAGAAAAAAATGTTCAGAAACAACCACATAGTAGATTGTGAAGTAATTATTGGCCCATTAATTGATTATATTCACTTTTACTAAAGATTTAGATTAGAGTATCTTTTGAAAAGAGACAAATTAGTTGTGATAGGAATGGAGTAAATTATATGTTTACTGTGGTAATAGTATTACATATATTGTAAAACATGCCAGATTATTTATTAAATAAGGTGGAGTTTCTTTCTTGCAACCCAGTGAGTGGATCTTGTGTACCCTACCTTGGTAACCACTGACTTAAAAGAACATACAGAACATTAAAATTCTGATGCTATAGGTGTCTGACAGAGAAATGAGAACAAACAAACAATGTAGCATGAATCTTCCTGTGACAGCAATTATAACCAGTATGTGACGTGGTACCTCATTCCTACAACTAGTGTAAGAGCAGGTAGGACTCTTCTGTGACTTGGGGGTTTATCGTGGGAGGAAGCATTGATTGGTATTTCTTTAGTCCAAGAATGTGAGCACATCCAGAAAATGCAGATCAATTTCAGCCTAATGAGAAAATGGGTTTTGAATTGGATTCCATATGGTAAGATAATGGGTGATTTTGGAGTTACCATTTTTGAATATGGCAGTTGAAAAATGCATACTACTTCATTTAGGTCCTTCATTTTACACATGGGAAACTGAGGGCCAGCGAAATGTCATGACTGGCCCAAGATTGACCTCCATTTAAAGTAATAAAAACGTTAAAGAATGAACATATGGGTCAAATTTTATTTTTAAAGATTCCATTGCAGTGAAAATTTCATATTGAGAGTTCCAAATTCCAGCAGATAACCCGCTTGTTTAAATCAGTGTTTGATATTTGGATAATTCCTCAGAGTTTGTTATGATGTGATTTGAGTTACACAATAATTGGAAACACTGTCTGATTCATTGTACTGATTTTCATTTCTTTTTTCTTCTAGAATGTCTTGATTGTTGAAGTAAGTTATATATATACTTTTAATATAGTGTTTATGATTTTCTAACTTAGTACGCACAATCCTAAACGTAAGCCAGGGAAAGAAAGGAAAGCCAAGGAGGAATTACTTCGTTATATGGGAGTAAGATTGCTTTTTATAAGAAATACTTAGTAATTAATTTTTACTGGATAATGGAAAAATTGGGGTATATTAATTATTCCTCTTTTCTTGGCTTGAATTTTTTCTTTGTTTTAAAGTAGTGTTTATCATTCCCATGTATGTTTTTTATACTTACATTGCACATATGTATCCATATGCAAAATATATTTTGTGTATTTAAAATTTTATGTAGGGCCACACTATTCATATTCTTTTGCAACTTATTTCCAGTCAAAACTGGTTTTGAGGTTATTTGTGTTGAGACATGCAGTTGTTGGCCTTGAAATGTCACATAGCATTGCAGTGTATGAATCAGCCAGTTTATTGCCTACAAATAGTTTGCTTCCAATTTTTCTTGCTCCAACAGGGCTGCTAACAGCATCCTTTTGCTGTGCCCTGTGTGCACACGTGTGAGTTCCCTCTAGATACAGGCATTTATAAGTAGAATGTCTGGGTTGTAGAATTCTTACGTTTTTTAATTATACTGTTATTGCCAGTTACTGATTAAAGTGGTTGTATGATTTATGGTCTCAGTAATAGAATGAGTTCTCACTCTTAGGTATAGTGGTTTAAGGCCCAAGAGTAACAGTAACCCCAACCCCCAATTCACTTTTTGCTGTTAAAGTTTTTAAAAACTTTAGCTTATAGATTAAAAAATAAACACTTTTCAAAGGGTTGTGTATATGAGTATCCCTGTGAACTGATTACTTTTTTCAAATGTAAGTTCATTAATTCCACTTCAGATTGATTCGTTTTGTCTGGGGTAATGCTACCTAACAAATTACCACAAATTCAGCAGCTTAAGAAAGCACATATTTATATCAGTTTCCATGAGTCAGGGGCCTTGAGTATAGGTTAGCTAGGACCTTTGCTTGGGTCTCATCAGGCTAAATCAAGGCTGGAGCTCCTATGTCACTTGTGGCTCATGGTCCACTTCCAAGTTCATTCATGTTGTTGGCAGAATTTAGCTGCTGTGGTTGTAGGACTCGGGATCCCATTTTTTTTGCTGGCTGCTAGCCAGGGGCTACCTTGAGCTCCTAAAGGCCACCCTCATGTCCAGGACATGGCCTTCTCACATGGCAGCTGAGTTCTTTAAAATCAACAGGAGACTATCCTGTCGCCTACAACTCTCTTGTATAATATAACCCAATCACAGAATTGACTACCATCATTTTCACAGGTCCTGCTCACACTCAGGGAGAGGGGATTGTTTTAGGTGTGTACACCAAGGGAGTACGAGTCTTGGTGACCATCAGAATTCTGTCTACACAGAAATCTGCATTTTTTTTGTTTTGGTATCATTAATCTACAATTACATGAGTAACATTAGGCTTACTAGGTTCCCCCCTTCACCAAGTCCCCCCCACATACCCCATTACAGTCACTGTCCATCAGCGTAGTAAGATGCTGTAGAATCACTACTTGTCTTCTCTGTGTTGCACAGCCCTCCCCGTGCCCTCCCCATTATACATGCTAATCGTGATGCTCCCTTTCTTTTCCCCCCCCTTCTCCCTCCCTTCCCACCCATCCTCCCCAGTCCCTTTCCCTATGGTAACTGTTAGTCCATTCTTGGGTTCTATGAGTCTGCTGCTGTTTTGTTCCTTTATATTTTTCTCTATTCTTATACTCCACATATGAGTGAAATCATTTGGTACTTGTCTTTCTCCACCTGGCTTATTTCACTGAGCATAATACCCTCTAGCTCCATCCATGTAGTTGCAAATGGTAGGATTTGTTTTCTTATCGCTGAATAATATTCCATTTTGTATATGTACCACGTCTTTATCCATTCATCTACTGATGGACACTTAGGTTGCTTCCATTTCTTAGCTATTGTAAATAGTGCTGCAATAAACATAGGGGTGGATCTGTCTTTTTCAAACTGGGCTGCTGTACTCTTAGGGTAAATTTCTAGAAGTGGAATTTCTGGGTCAAATGGTATTTCTATTTTGAGCATTTTGAGGAACCTCCATACTACTTTCCACAATGGTTGAACTAATTTACATTCCCACCAGCAGTGTAGGAGGGTTCCCCTTTCTCCACAACCTCGCCAACATTTGTTGTTGTTTGTCTTTTGGATGGTGGCAATCCTTACTGGTGTGACGTGATATCTCATTGTGGTTTTAATTTGCATTTCTCTGTTAACTAGTGATGTGGAGCATCTTTTCATGTGTCTGTTGGCCATCTGAATTTCTTCTTTGGAGAACTGTCTATTCAGCTCCTCTGCCCATTTTTTAATTGGATTATTTGCTTTTTGTTTGTTGAGGTGCGTGAGCTCTTTATATATTTTGGATGTCAACCCTTTATCGGATCTGTCATTTGTGAATATATTCTCCCATACTGTAGGATGCCTTTTTGTTCTATTGATGGTGTCCTTTGCTGTACAGAAGCTTTTCAGCTTGATATAGTCCCACTTGTTCATTTTGCTTTTGTTTCCCGTGCCCGGGGAGATATGTTCATGAAGAAGTTGCTCATGTTTATATCCAAGAGATTTTTGCCTACATTTTCCTCCAAGAGTTTTATGGTTTCATGACTTACATTCAGGTCTTTGATTCATTTCGAATTTACTTTTGTGTATGGGGTCAGGCAATGATCCAGTTTCATTCTCTTACATGTAGCTGTACAGTTTTGCCAACATCAGCTATTGAAGAGGCTGTCATTTCCCCATTGTATGTCCATGGCTCCTTGATCGTATATTAATTGACCATATATGTTTGGGTTAATGTTTGGAGTCTCTGTTCTGTTCCACTGGTCTGTGGCTCTGTTCTTGTGCCATTACCAAATTGTCTTGATTACTGTGACTTTGTAGTAGAGCTTGAAGTTGGGGAGTGAGATCCCTCCCACTTTATTCTTCCTTCTCAGGATTACTTTGGCTATTCGGGGTCTTGGAGGTTCCGTATGAATTTTGAACTATTTGTTCCAGTTCATTGAAGAATGCTGTTGGTACTTTGATAGGGATTGCATTGAATCTGTAGATTGCTTTGGGCAGGATGGCCATTTTGATGATATTAATTCTTCCTAGCCAAGAGCATGAGATGAATTTCCATTTGTTAGTGTCCTCTTTAAGATCTCTTAAGAGTGTGTTGTAGTTTTCAGGGTATAGGTCTTTCGCTTCATTGATTAGGTTTATTCCTAGGTATTTTATTCTTTTTGATGCAATTGTGAATGGAATTGTTTTCCTGATTTCTCTTTCTATTAGTTCATTGTTAGTGTATAGGAAAGTCATGTATTTCTGTGTATTAATTTCGTATCCTGCAACTTTGCTGAATTCTGATATTAGTTCTAGTAGTTTTGGAGTGGAGTCTTTACGGATTTTATGTACAATATCATGTCATCTGCAAATAGTGATAGTTTGGCTTCTTTACCAATCTAGATGCCTTGTATTTCTTTGTTTTGTCTAATTGCCATGGCTAGGACCTCTAGTACTATGTTGAATAACAGTGGGGAGAGTGGGCACCCCTGTCTTTTTCCTGATCTTAGGTGAAAAGCTTTCAGCTTCTCGCTGTTTAGTATGATGTTGGCTGTGGGTTTATCGTATATGGCCTTTATTATGTTGAGGTACTTGTCCTCTATACCCATTTTGTTGAGAGTTTTTATCATGAATGGATGTTGAATTTTGTTGAGTGCTTTTTTGGCATCTATGGAGATGATCATGTGATTTTTGTCCTTTTTGTGGTGGATGATGATGGATTTTCGAATGTTGTACCATTGTTGCATCCCTGAGATGAATCCCACTTGATCATGGTGTATGATCCTCTTGATGTATTTTTGAATTTGGTTTGCTAATATTTTATTGAGTATTTTTGCATCTATGTTCATCAGGGATATTGGTCTGTAATTTTTTTGGTGGGGTCTTTGCCTGGTTTTGGTATTAGGGTGATGTTGGCTTCATAGAATGAGTTTGGGAGTATTCCCTCCTCTTCTATTTTTTGGAAAACTTTAAGGAGAATGGGTGTTATGTCTTCTCTGTATGTCTGATAAAATTCCGAGGTAAATCCGTCCAGCCCCGGGGTTTTGTTCTTGGGTAGTTTTTTGATTACCGCTTCAATTTCGTTGCTGGTAATTGGTCTGTTTAGATTTTCTGTTTCTTTCTGGGTCAGTCTTGGAAGGTTGTATTTTTCTAGGAAGTTGTCCATTTCTCCTAGGTTTTCCAGCTTGTTAGCATATAGGTTTTCATAGTATTCTCTAATAATTCTTTGTATTTCTGTGGGGTCCGTTGTGATTTTTCCTTTCTCATTTCTGATTCTGTTGATGTGTGTAGATTCTTTTTCTCTTAATAAGTCTGGCTAGGGGTTTATCTATTTTGTTTATTTTCTTGAAGAACCAGCTCTTGGTTTCATTGATTTTTTCTGTTGTTTTATTCTTCTCAATTTTATTTATTTCTTCTCTGATCTTTATTATGTCCCTCCTTCTGCTGACCTTAGGCCTCATTTGTTCTTCTTTTTCCAATTTCGATAATTGTGACATTTGACCATTCATTTGGGATTGTTCTTCCTTCTTTAAATAGGCCTGGATTGCTATATACTTTCCTCTTAAGACTGCTTTTGCTGCATCCCACAGTAGTTGGAGCTTTGTGTTGTTGTTATCATTTGTTTCCATATATTGCTGGATCTCCATTTTGATTTGGTCATTGATCCATTGATTATTTAGGAGCATGTTGTTAAGCCTCCATGTGTTTGTGAGCCTTTTTGCTTTCTTTGTACAATTTATTTCTAGTTTTATACCTTTGTGGTCTGAGAAGTTGGTTGGTAGAATTTCAATCTTTTGGAATTTACTAAGGCTCTTTTTGTTGCCTAGTATGTGGTCTATTCTGGAGAATGTTCATGTGCACTTTAGAAGAATGTGTATCCTGCTGCTTTTGGGTGTAGAGTTCTATAGATGTCTATTAGGTCCATCTGTTCTAGTGTGTTGTTCAGTACCTCTGTGTCCTTACTTATTTTCTGTCTGGTGGATCTGTCCTTTGAAGTGAGTGGCGTGTTGAAGTCTCCTAAAATGAATGCATTGCATTCTATTTCCTCTAATTCTGTTAGTATTTCTTTCACATATGTTGGTGCTCCTGTATTGGGTGCATATATATTCATAATGGTTATATCATCTTGTTTGACTGAGCCCTTTATCATTATATAATGTCCTTTATTGTTACTTTCTTTGTTTTGAAGTCTTTTGTCTGATATGAGTAGTGCAACACCTGCTTTTTTCTCCTTCTTGTTTGCATGAAATATCTTTTTCCATCCCTTGACTTTTAGTCTGTGTATGTCTTTGGGTTTGAGGTGAGTCTCTTGTAGGGAACATATAGATGGGCCTTGCTTTTTTATCGATTCTATTACTCTGTGTCTTTTGATTGGTGCATTCAGTCCATTTACATTTAGGGTGATTATTGTAAGAAATGTACTTATTGCCATTGCAGGCTTTAGATTTGTGGTTACCAAAGTTTCAAGGTTATCTTCTTTAGTATCTTACTGTCTAACTTAACTTGCTTATTGAGCTATTATAAACACTGTCTCATGATTCTTTATTTTTCTCCCTTCTTATTCTTTCTTCTCCATTCTTTATATGTTGGGTGTTTTATTCTGTGCTCTTTTGTGTTTCCTTTGCTTTTGTGGGTAGTTGATTGTATTTTTTTGCTTTCAGTTGGTATTTGGTTGGTCTGCTTTTATTTTCTCTGGTGACATCTCTTTAGTCTTAGGAGTGCTCCCATCTAGAGCAGTTCCTTTAAAATACCCTGTAGCGGTGGTTTGTGGGAGGCAAATTCCCTCAGCTTTTGCTTATCTGGGAATTGTTTAATCCCTCCTTCATATTTAAATGATAATCATGCTGGATACAGTATTCTTGGTTCAAGGCACTTCTGTTTCATTGCATGAAATATATCATGCCATTCTCTTCTGGCCTGTAAGGTTTCTTTTGAGAAGTCTGATGATAGCCTGATGGGTTTTCTTTTGTAGGTGACCCTTTTCTCTCTTTCTCCCTTTTATACTCTGTGCTTGTCCTTGATCTTTCCTATTTTAATTATTATGTGTCTTGGTGTTGTCCTCCTTAGGTCCCTTCTGTTGGGAGTTCTGTGTGCTTTCGTCATCTAGGCGACTATTTCCTTCCCCAGTTTGGGGAATTTTTCGGCAATTATTTCTTCCAATACAGTTTCTATCCCTTTTTCTCTCTCTTCTTCTTCTGGTACCCCTGTAATGCGGTATTGTTCCTTTTGGATTGGTCACACAGCTCTCTTAATATTGTTTGATTGCTGTAGATCCTTTTATCTCTCTCTCTGCGTCAGCTTCTCTGCGTTCCTGTTCTCTGTTTTCTGTTCCATTAACGGCGTCTTGCACCTCATCCATTCTGCTTTTACGTCCTTCCAGAGATTGTTTTATTTCTGTAGTCTCCCTCCCCCATCTTTATCCATTAGCTATTGCATTTTTCTCTGCAGCTCCATCAGCATGGTTATGACCTTTATTTTGAATTCTTTTTCAGGAAGATTGGTTAAATCTATCTCCCCAGGTTCCCTCTCAGGGGATGTCTTTGTGATTCTGGTCTGGATCAAATTCTTCTGCCTTTTCATGGAGTAGAGGTAGTCGTGGGCAGTTGGCACGTGTGTTAGCTGGGAGGACAAAGTTCCTTCCTGCTTGCTCATTGCCTTCCTCTCCTGCAAGAACGGTGACCCCTAGCGGCTTGTGCTGGGCAGCTGTGCACCGACGGGTGTCTCTGGGTCTAGCCCAGGCAGCTCTGTGGGGCTGCTGTGGGCATGGATGGTCTCAGGCTGCTCCTCCGCTGTGGTGGGGCCACTCTGGAGGGGGAGCAGGCAGGAGGCTGTTTATTGTGAGGGGCCTCAGAGCTGCACTGCCGCCCAGGGGGTTAGAGCGCCTGTAGTTCCCCGGGATTTGCAGCTGCTGAGCTAAGTGTACTGGGACGCTTCCATCTAGCTGTGAGGCTCCCGTCCCTTTAAGACTTTAAAATACACTCGCTTTTCTATTCTCCCAGGGGCACCGGCTGTGGGAACCCTCTTGCAGGTTTTACTTTTCTGTTTCTGTAATATCCACCACCCCACGCACTGTGTGTCTGCGCTCCCGGTGCAGATGACTAGGGCTGGGTATTTAGCAGTTCTGGCCTCTCACTCCCTCCCTGCTCCTACTCCTCTCCTCTCGCCAGGGAGCTGGGGTGGGGCATGCGCTCGGAGTCCCGCTGGGCCGTGGTTTGTATCTCATCCCCTTCATGAGGCGCTGGGTTTTCGCAGGTGTAGATGTAGCCTGGCTGTTGCACTGTATCTTCTGGTCTCTCTTTTAGGAATAGATGTATATGTTGTATTTTCAAAAATATATATGGTTTTGGGAGGAGATTTCTGCTGCCCTACTCATGCCACCAGCTTGGCTCCTCCCTCAGAAATCTGCATTTTTGGCAAGTCTCCAGCCCTTATGTTTCTGATGACTCACTGAACCAGACACCACTTTGTGAAGCACTGCTTTGTACTATCTGTAGAGAGTATTTTTCTCTTTGTTTTTATTGTAGAGAATATTTTCATTGAAGAGCATTAGGATTACTGTTAAAAAATATTTTCCCAATTAGAGATGGGTTTGTTTTGAATAATGTCTTACTTTTGACTAAATAGCTAAGATTCACTTTCGTGTGAAGTCATTTTATGTAGTAAAGCCTTATTTGGATAATTTTAAGATGGTATAAAGTATAACAGTGTTACTCAAAGAGTGGTCTGTTAACCACCTGCATCCGGGAGTTGGGGAGAACAATCCCAATCTTGATTTTATGAAAATATCTATGAAGAGCAGCAGCATAACTCTAATAAAACATGGGTGAACCACCTCAACAAGCAAAAAGCAAATAACCCGATTAACAAATGGGCAGAGGATTTGAAGAGACAGTTCTCCAAAGAAGAAATTCAGATGGCCAACAGGCACATGAAAAGATCTTCCACATCGCTAGTCATCAGAGAAATGCAAATTACAACCACAATGAGATGGCCACCATCCAAAAGACAAACAACAACAAATGTCGGCGAGGTTGTGGAGAAAGGGGAACCCTACTACACTGCCGGTGGGAATGTAAACTAGTCCAACCATTGTGGAAAACAGTATGGAGGTTCCTCAAAAAACTCAAAATAGAAATACCATTTGACCCCAAAATTCCACCCCTAGGAATTTACCGTAAGAATGCCAGAGCCCAGTTTGAAAAAGACATATGCACCCTTATGTTTATCACAGCACTATTTACAATAGCCAAGAAATGGAAGCAACCTTTGTGTCCATCAGGAGATGAATGGATAAAGAAGAGGTGGTACATATACACAATGGAATATTATACAGCCATAAGAAGAAAACAAATCTACCATTTGCAACAACATAGATGGAGCTAGAGGGTATTATGCTCAGTGAAATAAGCCAGGCGGAGAAAGACAAGGACCAAATGATTTCACTCATCTGTGGAGTATAAGAACAAAGAAAAAATGTGAAGGATCAAAACAGCAGCCGACTCACAGATCCCAAGAATGAACTAACAGTTACCATAGGGAAAGGGACTGGGGAGGATGGGTGGGAAGTGAGGGATATGGGGGGGGTCAGGAAGAAAGGGGGCACCATGATTAACATGTATTATGTGGTGGGGGCACAGGGAGGGCTATACAACACAGAGAAGACAGCTAGTGATTCTACAGCTTCTTACTATGCTGATGGACAGTGGCTGTAATAGTGTATGTTGGGGGGACTTGGTGATTGGGGGAGTCTAGTAAGCATAATGTTCCTCATGTAATTGTAGTTAATGATACAAAAAAATGGGTGTACATACTTGCATATATATATATATATATATATCCAAATTAACTGTCAGTGACTTCTGGTGTCTTCAAAATCCAGTCCTGAGGAATTCATACTTCTTTCTGAGAGCCAGATGATTTATAGATGCCATTATATTTAAGTTCATGAATTGTGAGAATTACTCCACTGAAAAAAAGGGCATTTTTCCCGTTATACATGGGTTTTGGTATTTTGTGTTTATATAATGACTGAATTTACAGCTATTATAGTTTTATTTACCACTTAAATGTCTTTTTTTAAAGGATATAATTGACACTGGCAAAACAATGCAAACCTTGCTATCCTTGGTCAAGCAGCATAATCCAAAGATGGTCAAGGTTGCAAGGTATGTATATAACATTTTCACACATTTGAAAGAGGATTAAGTAAATTACTTCTTTGTAAGAGTACATGTTCTCAACTGTCATATAATCTTCATAAAGTAATGTAATTTCAAATATGACTCGGTAAATATCCTTTATAAATTGTCATGTGTTGATAAAGCCCTTCATTGCAGTCACCTTTTGCCTAATAATAACATTTCATTTTTCAGCATGGTAATGCTGTTACCAACTTTTCCTGGGTACCATGGCAGAGGCTTTGGGACCCCTTTGCAAAATTGAGACCAAGGCTCCCCCAGAGGGGTTAGGAGTGGTAGTAAGGATAGGCCCTGAAGATGTGGAGATCCTGAAACTGATCGATGGAGTGGTGATGTATGCTTGTATTGTATCTACATTGAAAGTTTACAATACCTAGTTCCTTTTTTCTAAACCAGCCCCACCTTGTGGCCTCCTACCTGTGCTGTTTGGCTTTTGCTTTTATTAAGTTCTGCCTGTGTTTATCCTTAGTTATAGTTTAATTCCCCAACAACTCTGAGGAAGCACTATTATTCCCACTTCAGAAATAAGGATACCAAGACATAGGGACTTGTACAAAGGGACAGAGCTGGTACACAACAGAGGTGAGATTTAAACCCAGGCAACCAGGCTCAGAGTTCATGCTTTAGTATCTTTAAGTTCTTGGTAGGGTGAAATCCCTGGTGGATATACTTTTTTTAACTTTTACAGTTTCATTTTTTTATATTTAAATCTTTGAACAATCTGCAGTTTTTGTGTAGGTGTCATACAGTGATCCAACTTTTTCCCCCCTAAAGATTAACTCTTTCTTATAAACCCGTTTTAAAGATCAAAGTATTGTTGAGCATCTTTGAATCAGAGTAAGCCAGCCTTCTAATGAGTCAGATGTTAGCAGTTTGTCCTTTGGAGCTTTTCTGATAGTTGGTGCAAGCATATTGTCAGTGAATGTTTACCTTAGATGGATTTGCGACAGGTGTGTTGAGTGTGTGTAAATGATGCACTCTGGGGTACTAAGTAGTATCCTGTACACCAGTCAGTGTACTTGCTTGCTCTCTACATGTTCTTACAATTTTAAATGTCAACCTGCTGTGGCATAGAGTTTATTCCTCTGGATATTCTTTTGTGCCTCTCTCCTTGAATGTGCTATAGAATTGAGATAGATTGCCTTATGAGAGAGGTATTTTTTATTGCTGAAGGTGTGAAATGCTCAAAGAATACTTAGGGCATGTCCTTTTGATGGAGTTGTTGAGTCAGTGTTTCTCAACCTTTTTTAAAAATCTCTCCCTTATGACTGAATTTTAATATCACAGATATATATATATATATGTTTCTATAGTGTATGCATATCTGCTTTACACACAAAAAGAGTAAGTATAAAGCTTATTCATTTTTCAATTCAGGGCCAAGAATGACTAGATGAGCTTTTATATTTAAAAGTTAAGTTAAAAATTAACTCTGTACACTGATAGGAATATCAAATGGTATAACCATTTTGGAAAACAGTTTGGCAGTTTATTAAGAAACTAAACATTTAACTACTGTATGACTTGAGCAGTTGCATTTCTGGGCATTTATCCCAGATCATGAAAGCATATCTACACAAAAACCCATACATGAATGTTCATTATAGCTTCATTTGTCGCCCAAAACTGGAAAAACCAACATGTTCTTCAGTAGGTGAATGCTTAAATAAATCGTGGTAGACCCTCCCATGGAATCCTACTCAGCAATAAAAAGGAACAAAGTATTGATAACAGGCAACAACCTGGATGAACCCCTCAGGGAATTATGCTGATAAAAGTCAATGTCAGTATGTTACATACTATATGATACCATTTATATAATCTTGAAGTGACAAAGTGATAGAAATGTAAAATAGGTTAGTGGCTGCCAGGGGTTAGGGCATGACAGGTAGATGTGACGATAAAGAGCCAGCAAGAGAGAGAGCCTTGTGTGATGGAAAGTTCTTTGTGTTGATTTTGATGGTAGTCACATGGATCCACATGTGTGACGAATTGCATAAACTACACCACACACACCAGTGCATATAAAACTGGTGAAATCTGGATAAAATCAGTCTACCAATGTCTATAACTAGTTATGTGAGATACTACCATTGGAGGAAACTGGAGAAAGGGCACATTTGACCTCTTTGCAAGTTCTGTGAATCTGTAATTATTTCAAAATTAAAAATTAAAAAAATATTACCATTGAATTTTATGACTATACCTGCTTAGTAACTTTTTAATATAATTTATTTATATAAATCATGATGTATAAAATTATACATACAAATTAGCAATTTCTATGAATACCTAATAGTAATATAATCACATTTTAAAATATGTACAGGTGGTAGTTTCTAGCAAGAGTCAAACAATTGAAAAATTAATTTCTTAGAAAGTGTGACTTCTAACTATTCATGGATAATTTGTTTACATTTCTTCATTTTAGTACTTGACAAGTTAGTGATAGGGTGAGTAACATTTATGAAATTAAATTATAATATATATAAACTGAGGATAAAAAAATTAATGTCCACAAGGCAGCCAGCAAGCACTTGCAGGCTGCCTCTCACAATACAACACAAATGATTAGATGCTCCCTTGGAGGCTAAGGCTTAGGCCAGTGGTTCTCGACTTTAGCTGCACATGGGAATCACCTGAGAAATTTTAAAAATAACAAAAAATATGTGTGTCCCAACCCCAGTAATTCTGATATGACTGGTCAGGGCTGTGGCCAGGGTATCTGTTTTCATTTGTTTTTTTAGGTTCCTGGGTGATTTTGATAGGCAGTTATGGTTGAGAATCACTTTATGTCCTTTATAGCTCTTTAAATTTGTTTATCTAGAAAGGTATAAAATCATGTTTTATTGGGATTATCCTTAACATATGTAGAGGCTTTCAAAACACCATCTCCCGCTTTTTCTAATAGCTGAAAACTTTCAGCAGGTAGTACTTGGGTTACGAAATTACCTTTGTTAGAGTTTGACTCATCCTACCTGAAGGTTTTGCTCTCTCAAAAATAAATATTCCTTTAGCATTTAGCTACTTTTTAACCTGGTTACTCTCTGGAAGCCACATATTAAAAGTCTGGAAAAGTGATGTTCACCTCTCCCATGCCCCTTTTTTGCTTCGGGATTGTATGTCCAGGGATTCTGGACCGACAGTCCCTATCTTTCTTTCCATCTTTCTCATTGGTACTCCTTACCCATTCATCCTCCTGATTAGCTGCCCTTTGGTGGGTGCATGGGTAGTCAGGGTGCAGCTCTCAGAACTTTCCAGGAACAGAGCAATCAAAGGCCTCATCAGTGGTGTAAAGTTATTGCTGCCCCTGCCCAGTGATCCCTGTGGTTTAGCTTTCTGTTTCAGTCTTTCTTTGGGTATGTTAAAACAGACCTTAGTATGCTAAGTGAAGGTGAAACAATGTTTCAGAACATTAATGTTCTCTTTTGTAAAGCCCTGTATTGTCTCCATATGACACATGTCACATTTTGTAATTAACAGCTTGCTGGTAAAGAGGACTCCTCGAAGTGTTGGCTATAGACCAGACTGTAAGTGAATTACTTTTGTCAATCACTGAATCATCTTTAACCCAAATAAATTTTATATTTAATGTTTTAGAGTTACTTTGGAAAGTATTCATAGAGAAGGCACATTTACAAATATTAGATTGAAAATGATGTTTACTCTAACTGTGGAATTATGATTCTTTCTAGTTGTTGGATTTGAAATTCCAGACAAGTTTGTTGTAGGATATGCCCTTGACTATAATGAATACTTCAGGGATTTGAATGTAAGTACAGCTGCTTTTTCTCAATCTCATCCCTCAGAACTCACATAAAAATTTACAAAGGAGAAGAATTGTTTTCTCTTTTTAGAACCTCATAATTAGAATACACTGATGATTCCCATTAGTTACATAAAATTGTAGTCAAGTACAGACGTTCCTTAGAACTGGAACTTGGCCACCTAGGGTGACACTTCTTGCTGGCTGAAACAGCTGAACAGCTTTAATATACAATAACTGTCCCATTATTATGTCAGGTAATAAATGTAGTTATAGGTAAGAAATAAATGCAATAGTTTAAGTGTTTTAATTTATTGTCCTTCAGTTACTTGCTTCCTACTCTGGAGGGGAGGAGTCCTGAGAATGCATTTATGAACATGGGTGAGGAAGATGAGGAAGACTACACAAACTTCTGTTTGTTTAGTAAAAAAACCTTCAGAATAATCCTATTTGTAAAATACACAGAAATGCTGTGCTTGCCTTTCATTTCAGAATACACTTCTCTAATGTGAATTTCTGGATTTTTATCTTACAGCACGTTTGTGTCATTAGTGAAACTGGAAAAGCAAAATACAAAGCCTAAGATGAGCATTCAAGTTGAATTTGGAAACATCTGGAGTCCCATTGAAATAACCAGTAAAATTATCGAATGTTCTAGTTCTGTGGCCAGCTGTTTAAGTAGAGCATATTGCATGTATCTTCTAAGAATTGTATCTGTTTTGTATTTTAGAAATGTCAGTTGCTGCATTCCTGAACTTCTTATTTGCACTATGAACCTATAGACTATCAGTCCCTTTGGGTGGATTATTGTTTGACTTGTGAAATCTCTTAAACCACACTATTGAATGAAAAACTGAAATTGTATCTGTAAGAAACATTTAAAAAGAAGATATATTAGTTTTTTAATTGGTATTTTAATTTTTATATATTCAAGAAAGAACAGAAGTGATTGCATATTGTTAATTATACCACTGTGTGTTTAGAAAAGTAAGAAGCAGTTTTCTTATCAATGGTAGCATCTAAGAGGTATTGTCATGTCAGGGAAACCATACATCCTGGTATTATTTTAGTAGTGTTTCAGAGTATTGACTGTTTTCCCCTCTTGTTCAGATTATTTCCAGTGAATATTTGTCAACAGTTCTTTTAAATACAAATCAGTAAATTTCAAAAAAAACCTTACCACTTTTTGAATTCCTCAGTGTAAAAATCCTTGAAATAAAGGCTGTCTCTTTAAAAGAAACTATGCACACCTATCATTTCTCTACACATTAATCTAGTATAGTTTTCTGTTGGTTTCCTTTTCCTTGTCTGTTAATTTTTACTAACTAGTTTAATTGTAATCTTTACCAAAGAGAGTAAATGATGATTATCTGGTAGAATGGGTTGTTGGAGCTACCAAAATTCTCACCTAATTCAGAGACATTAAATTTCAGATACCTGGTATACTCTTACATTTTACTATATTAAAGTAACATGGCTTTCTCTTGGAATTCTGTTAAATTTTTTTAGATTGCGTCTCTGCATCTCAACAGTTTGTTTCAGACATGTACTGTTTACCTGCTTTGTGTAGTTAATACTTTATTGACTAAAGAACAACAACAAAAGCTTTTCTGGGAGAAGGAAAAAAAGTGTTACATCAAAACTTTTCTTTACATCAACTGGTAACTTTGCAAGCCATCGAGGTGTATATATATATATGCCTTAATCTTGCTGTAATTCTCAGCAGCAAAGTAGGGAACTTCAAATAATACTAAATAATAATTTGTTATACTCCTAGAACTTCCTAACTTATAAAACTTTTTCACTATTGTAATTTCATTTGATCTTCATAGCCCCTGTGACGTTGAGGTCCGTGCTATCACATGTGTGTGTAGCATCCAAGATAACTCCTGATTCCTCTTCTCCCCTCAACATGTTACCTCACTGAGGTCTGCCAGGCTACGCTATTTACAACTGCAACCTGCCTCCCACTGCTTATCCTCTTTACCCTCCTCTTTTCAGTTGCACTTAACACCTTCTATAGGTTGAACCATATGAAATTACCATTTTTGTAAGTAAAAATAGTTGGCTATTGGCAACTTCAAGAGGTGTAACCTAATAACATGCTGTGGAATTTACATTGGTATTTATTGCTCACCATTTATCTTCCCCCTCTACATCTTCTAGAATGTAAACTCCATAAGGAGTGCAAGAATTTTTACCTGTGTCTTGTTCACTGATGTATACCTAATACTTGAAAGATGGTAGGAGCTCAGAAGATTTTTGTTGAATGAATGACTGACTAAGAGCTCTGGGTTACACTGTCCTGACCTTTGGTTATTAGCTATGTGACATCGAGTTACTTGCCTTTGGAACCTGTTTTCACAACTGATTAATAGCAATAATGCTGTCTCCTTCACAGGCTTATTGCAAGGATTAATTAGATGTGATACTGTGGGTGAAACAGGACATGGCCTGGGACATAGCAAGTGTTCCATATACATTACTTGCTTTTGAATGTTTCAAGAAGTTAGGTACATGGCTAGTATGTGCAGATACTGTCATGAAGAAGCTGAACTGTTTCTGTTTCCCCTTCTGGTTTACCCAAACTCTTCAGTTGTAGTTAACTAATATTTTAGCTGGTTTGCAAATCTGACAAGAAACCCAGCTAACAGCAGGGAAGGAAAGGCTTCCTGAAGCTCATGTACTTTTCTTATAAGGATACTCCTCACACCTTACCTAACTAGCTTTGGGGACATACAATTTTAATAATTTCATTTATTTAGCCAATTTTCAATAGGCTATATGTGGTCTCTTTATAAGATGAGGGGAAAGAGATCCTGTGATGAGTAGCAGTAATTTTTAGGATAGCATTCTGTCAAGGTAGAGGAAGGTATTGGAAAAAGCTATAGCTTCCTGGGTCATTTAGTCACTTAATATACAAGAAAATGGTCCTAAATGTCACACCTCAGTAATCCCTCTAGGCTTTACTTTTTTTTTTTGGTATCATTAATCTACAATTCCATGAACGACATTATTGTTACTAGACTCCACCCATCATCAAATCCCCCCCACATACCCCATTACAGTCACTATCCATCAGCATAGTAAGGTGCTGTAGAATCACTACTTGTCTTCTCTGTGTTGTATAGCCCTCCCTGTGCCCCCCACTCCCTACATTATATCTGCTAATCGTAATGCCCTTTTCCCCCCCTTGTCCCTCCCTTCCCACCCATCCTCCCCAGTCCCTTTCCCTCTGGTAATTGTTATTCCATTCTTGGGTTCTGTGAGTCTGCTGCTGTTTTGTTCCTTCAGTTTTTTTTTCTTTGTTCTTATACTCCACTTATGAGTGAAGTCATTTGATACTTGTCGTTTTCCACCTGGCTTATTTCACTGAGCATAATACCCGCTAGCTCCATCCATGATGTTGCACATAGTAGGATTTGTTTTCTTATGGCTGAATAATATTCCATTGTGTATATGTATCACATCTTCTTTATCCATTCATCTACTGATGGACACTTAGATTGTTTCCATTTCTTGGCTATTGTAAAGAGTGCTACAATAAACAGGGGTGCATCTGTCTTTTCCAACTGGACTTCTGCATTCTTTTTTTTTTTTTTTTTTTTT